ATTCGCTACGGCAGCGCTATATGCGAAATCGAACTTACTAATTATAGCATCGAAGAATACTTCGCGATGATCGAGACGCAGACAAGACCCAATATATTGCCCAAAAGAACAGAGACAAAATACTGAAGACCACTCGATAAGCTAATTCTATAGTTAGCCAACAGGATCAATTGGCTGATACTATGCGTCGATCGAGACGCAGATAAGACCCAATCTACCGGGCAAATGAACAGAGACAAAATACTAAAGACCACTCGAGACGTAGACAGAACCCAGTTTATAGGTCAGACGAACAAAAACGAGACAATATTCGGAGGGCTCGCCATACACAACTAATAGAACGATGACTTTTAGAAAGAGCTAGGAATAGGAAGCAAAGGTCACAGGCCAGAGAAAATCTGATTCGTATGATAATTGAGCATGCAAGTAACACAAGTGCAAGGCGAAGTGCGCGCATTAAATCACCACCGGAGAAAGCTTGTCCCAGAAAGTTAGCCAGTATAAGAGTAATACAGGTAACAGAATAACAGAGAATAGGCGCAATGCGACCAGGAACAGAGGATAGGTCGTCTCAAGCAATAGGTGATAACCTAAATGCTCTGCAATCTGCGTTAAAAAGAACACTTAAGTAGGGTCCCGATCAGGTGTGCCTTTGTTCCAAAGATTTATAGTTTCCACATTAAATAGACAAAATGTCTCATGGGGTTATTGAATGCAAGTGTGGTGCAGAAGCATGCTCAGATTTTTTAAATCTTTCCTCTATACTCCCATCTGTTCATTATATATATCGTTGTTGCAAAACATAAAGTCGTAGCATTAAACTAGGCAAAAACCAGATCAACGCATTCAATAATAATATTTTAATAAAAACTTGAAGACTATTGTAAGTTAGGTTTGTCAGTCGAATTACACGAAACCTATCTGAACGAGCCGCACAGAATCCAATAAAAAAAATGTTCAATTAAAAGCCAACAACACTTACAGTTTGTTAAATTATATAATTTAAATTTGCATGGCGTCACGGATAGACTCTTTTAAAGTTAATAAAGAAAACAAAAGAAACTCAAATGGTTAACTGTGTAACTATAAAAATTAAAATAAAATCGCGTAAGCCGGGAATAACTTAATCCATTCTTCTACCTACTTTGGACAATACCAAGAAAAGTACCATCTAATGTGGAACGTTCGGATCAGCAGGTAATGAAGTCACGTATTCACTTCTTGTCACATATGTTAAGTAGTTGAGCATAATTGTAATTTGCATGCACCAAATAACCGGTTTGGAGATTATTATATATAATATTGGTGCGATATGTAGTGTAGTGCTTCTAAGCGAATGTTTCAATAGTTATCAAAATTAATTGACACTACAATTTCATATCGCATAGTCGTTGATGTTACCCCCTTTTGCCTTTACTCGCAACCATTGTAAATTATACAGTTACTCGAGACGAAGCACTTGTATATAAGTGCAGTACACCAATACATACACATGTATATAGCAAAACAGCTGCAGTCTGCTTTTTCGTGCAATAGTTGTTGACCGACGCCTTTTCTTTGTGACGTATCGATCACGGCTAAAATAAACTTAATACAGTTTGATTTTAATATTACTTTATAATTATTAAATTTAGAATTTAGCATTAAACATGGCAACTTTGACGATTCAAATTCAAGTTCAATATGTCTATTAAAATCATATGGCGTTTAAATGATCAGATAAGAAAAGGGAAATTAAACCATGGATATACAGAGATAGAATGTAGATAAGAAATGTTGGCATCACATATATATACAGCGTTCAAATAACAGACTCGAGTAGAAACTTTCGACCCAGATGATGATTGTAACGCCTGCAGGCATGCCTACGCACATATTTAGTGAAAAATACTCCGCGTTCAAGAAATTTATTAACCTGTTCGAAACTATTGTTTGTAACGATCATGCGATTCAGAGTATAGAGAAATTTAATCATCTGATCTCAAGTGTCTCTAAAGCACTAGTCACTGTTAGAGCATTTCAAGTCATCGACGACAATTATTTGAAATCATTAGACAACCTAAAGAAAGTATACGAAAATGAATGTCTAATATTCAATGAAAATATTTCGGCTCTCCTTACCTACCTAAAATAGCGCAACCTTCTGCTGTATCATCGAGATCTCTAATTATTACTGTCTCCGCCATCTATGGCTTGGTCCTGGATGACAAAAAGATTTCTAGCGCAATTCTCATTCGCCTCGTTATGTAAAAGCTTCTCATCCATCCAGCCCGAACCGGTTTACGTCAAGCTATCTCAGCCAATTCTCTCCAACAAAACTGAGAATGAAATGAAAACCTCTGCCTTGTTCAATTGGCAATTGGCCAGGCAATTGGCCTTCACATCCAATTCGACACAGTATTCTGAGGATCCTACCAAACATCTAATTGGCAGACCCCCATTCCACTCGTGCTCGCAGATTGACGTGTTGTTAGAAGCAAACATTATTCCGTCAATCCTACCCGGCGGCACACAATCTAACAAATGCGGCCTGCTTCTGGACATGCAGAAATTCTTCGGTTGGATCCCCACTGGCCCAGTCCACAATGATTTCGGTCACCCCACAACCACTATTGAATGATCTTCTTACACAGTTTTGGGAGGTGGAAAATCTGCCAGCCAAACTGGCAAAGAGTAAATAAATTTACTCGCACCACCAAAAGGGATGAGACAGGCAGATATATCGTTACGTTACCCTTCTAAAATCCTGATCAGATCAACTCCATACAGTTTAATTATCCAGATCTTGAAATGCGTTCTTTCGCCATTTTTTCAACGCCGATTTAACCAAAACGTACCGGCAAATCCGTGTTGTCTCAAAGCACACCATTGCAAAGAATCCTCTACCGGAATGGTGATGGCGAGCTTTGTGATTATGTGCTCAACACCTCCACCTTCGTTGTCAACAGCGATTTAATGCCTGACGTTCGCTCGCAATACCCTTTGGGTACACGAGCCGATTTCTTTGAAATTGAAGAAAATAACCTTGCGCTGAAAAGCAGACACTGATGAGTTGCGCCCCCTCCGACATGGAAGTGAATCAATATACGAAACGTGAGGTGATTTTACATTACATATCGCCAAGCTGTTCGATCCGAGCTAAGATCGTTGTGCAAATGATCTAGGTTCATGATCTCGGTTGAAATGCATCCTTGCCAAGCCAATTCCTCCAAAGGTGGCAAGAATTCCTCGACAGCTATGCAACTCTCACTAAGATACGCATCCCCAGATGAGTTCAAATTTCCTCTAAAGCAAAGTTACAGTTCCTTAAGTTATGCGATGCGTCTCAGAGCGCTTACGAAGCACCAAGTTACACCTGTATTGAAACTGTGCAGGAAGGTTCAGTCCACATGCTGACAGCGGAAACCAGGGTCGCTGCTGTGTAGGCCATCTGCGTATCTCACTTAGAAATGTGCGCATGTGTCCTGCTTACGGAACTGACCGCAGCGCTATATCATAGTGCTAGGCTGCAGGACGCCATGCAAATGGACGACCTTCGTGTCTAATAGAGTTGTCAATATTACTCAATCTCCAACTGCAGCAAATGGGCTCACGTTTGCTCCGAATGCAACCCTGCTGATCTGGCTAGCAAAGGTGTTCCCTCATACGACCCAGTGGTATGGACCAGAATGAATACAATTGCCACAATCGCAATGACCAAACACGATCGAGTCAGTCTATAGAGTGAGGAGATGCAAATTAGCAAAGTTGCTTCCAAAATCCAATATCGTGGACCGTTTCTCCGAATTTGGCTTCATACCGTTGTCAAAAACCTGATATTCGATTGCCGGAGGACACCAAGAGCACCGAGGTATGCGAAGCCCAAGAGCGGCTTGTTGTACATACTCAACGCATTAAGTACCCAAGGAGTATTAGTGTTTGCTCGACATTCTTCTTTTACCAAGTTCAAGAGCAATCATTAATGTCAATCCGATTATTGATCAAAATGGAAACATGAGAGCATGCGGGTGTGTGTGAGCTTCGAAGTCTCCCTCCTTATGAAAGCACTATCACACGTCTTCTCCTTCGCTTTACGCATCGCATATTTCTCCATGGTGGACACCAGATAATGATATGCTTAATCAGGTGCAAGTTCTGGATTTCATACTTGGTAGATATCAAAAACTTCGATATCAAAAACTACACAGCTTAAGCATGCTTCATTACCAAGTGCTAAGTGTGCGACTTTGTATCCTTTAGCACATGAGCCATACATTTAAAAGCCACTTCCGACCGGAAAATTCCTTATCGGTTTCGCTCGATTTGTTTCTCGGCGAGGGTGCCGCCATCAAATGTACTCCGACAGCGACAAAACGTTCGTTGGAGCCTTCGAAGCCTTATCGCGTGACTTCGTTAAGCCCGCGAAAACGTGTATTAATTCAGTTTACAGCCATCAGAATGTGTCCTGGCTATTCAACCCTCCCTGCGCCCCGCACATAGCTGGTTTATGGGAAGCGGAAGTAAAGTTTCAAAACAGGAAACCGTTTGAAATTCTTCGAGACTTAAGCGGTAATTGATCCGTGAAGTCGGACGATTCGCATCAATGTAGCCTTGGCAACGGTTTCGGGCTTTCTCTCACCCTCATTTGTGTAGAAGGGGCTTGTACCTCATATATCATCACAAAGGGGCCCTAGGGTACGATAATTGAAGTTATACTCCAGACAGAGAATCAACTTCAGATTTGCACCCCTATAACACAAATCGAGGAGAAAATTGTCACTGCACACTGTTAGGAAGCTAAGAAATAATGTGGATATACTCCATAACATATAACATTAATTGAAAAATTTTAAGACATATATACAGACATTTTCTACATATTTTTATTAAATCGGTATTTTTGTTAATGTTACTCGTAAGTTTTTTGATTTGTTTTTTTTTGTTTGCAGTAAATCTAAGATGGTGACAGATCACACTTTCAAAATAGCAGAAAAAGTTTCAATATTTTAAAAGAATCTCACCTCTAACACTCGTATAATACGAATAAGTTCTTCGTTTTTCCATCGGTATAACATACATTATCTGCGCAGGATGTCCTTTTTATATATATAAATTTCTAAAAGAAAATATTAAACAATATAGAATACATTAATAAAGCAGTTTTGAGCCGATCCATGGAGTCTGTCAGTCTGACAGTGCTGTTTGACAATATATTTAATAGCTGATACGAGCAGCAACAAGCACTGAAGTGAACGAATCCTTTCACAGGCAACTACTAATAACATTGTCGAGATTGTGGAATCTGATCAGTAAACAAATAAGGTAGTAGTGTACAACTATATGGTTTATAAGTCTAATTAACCTGTGGATGTGCTCAATAGTGTAAAAGGCTGGTACATCCAGTAATGCATAAGGGCTACTATAGGTCGAGACAGCTGCTAGATAGCTTGTCAAGTAATGATCTTATCTATGAGTTAATACTAGCTTGACATTGTTAAGAAAAAGGGGAAAGCGTCACTTCAGAGCAGAATTGATTGAACATGGATGTAGGTGAATTTTTTCGAGATTAAATTACGAAATGTACATGTATAAAAAAATAAAAGGACTATTACAATCTCAGAAGTGGGATATTAACACGGCAACGGAAGATATTAATGATTATAAAATGACTGGAAGTTGTGGGTGCCTCCACAATAGGCTCCAAGGTCGAGCTAGTATCGCAGGATGGACGAAACTGACAATGCGGAGGATCCGATCGACAGTCAGGCACCACAATGAAATGTTATATACTATTGTATTATATTATACGGAGTTAGCAGGCAGAAATTTTTATTAATTATTTAAATATAAATTAAAATCTATATTTAAAAAAAATTATTTTAGTCATTACTGTAATTTCATCTATGAGGAGTAACATACATTCTTATGTGCGCTAGAAAACTAACAAAATTGATTTCATTGGCAGCAAAAGCCAATGCATATATGTATGTGTGTTCATATTTTGATACTCATACATAATTCACACATACAAACATAGGTGCCTGCGCGCCATTGGCTGAGACAAGAACTTCTTTCTGTGTTGTTATTATTTTACTTTTAAATTTGCATGTACATTTTTTCAAGAGTATCTAGGGTTATGTACCATTCCTATAAATCACGCACATTAATGATTAAGCAAAAGTACTATGCGTAGATCGTAATAAAACTTTTTGACTCAATGTACTTCGAGAACGAAACGACGCAGAGCACCATCAACCAGCTTTGCTGAAGGCAGGCTGGCGACTAACTTCGTTGCTCGTGTCAGCATCAACAAGCCGCGACATCGGCGTTCGTTCGTCTGGCTTTTGGAGAGCGAAGAGGCAGTCGGCTGGCGTCGTTTAATGTTGGAAAAGCCAGGTGAAAAGCCAAGCTACAAATTTTGCGTCGCATTCAAATGTATGGGCGCTACTCATTTTAGTGTTTATATTGTTTGTGTTAAAGGCAATCCTGATGAACATTTGGGTCTTTAGGCCAGATTTCAATGCTTTAATTACAGTGAAGATGCAACGTGCATTTGCAGATGTGCCTTGCAGGTGCGTGGCGGTTCTGCTGGAAAAGAAGGCGCAAGGTCGGAAGTAACTTAGACAGTGCTATACCAAAGGATTCACGCTGTTATAATTGCAAAGTCATTGGGTCAAGGACTTTTTAATCCCAAAAGAGATCATGGTTCGTGCTATGGATGTGGTGTCATCGGAAAGCTCAATATGAAAATAATTATGTAAGAAGAGCATTATGTTATGATTATAAATAATCAAGAAAAATTAATTTTTATTTAATAGTGTCGGCTGACGAGTCTATGAAGTGGGCAGTAATATTGGGAGGATTGTGATTTAAATATGGACCTGGGCGTTTAGAGCGTTCTGGAAATAATTGCTGTAGAGTATGTTGAGAGTCAAATAAAAAAGATGAATAATTAATAAAATAACTGGACTTTAATAGTGAAAAACCAGTTTAAGCAAGTAGATTGGATAATAAATTGTAAGATTTTTCGACTTTTTCGACGAAATTGGCAATTTAAGAATGTGAAAATCATAGTTAAAAGTTTAAAAGCATTTATTTGTTCGCCACTGTGATTGCCATACGCTGAAAAATAAAATATATATGAATACCTGAGGGATCATTCAGCCAACAGTTCTTAATATGCATAACCGATATAGATAGACTGTCGCATAGATTTTAGAAGGTTAAATAAAATTAGGATTATTTACCAAGCTAGATTTAAAAAATATATCTTTTATTGTTTTAGTTGAAAGGGAATTCATAAAGTTTACATCTTTCGTAACTCCTTTGGGACAATTTGAAATTTGAAGGATGACGATGGGATTACAAACGGCTCCATAAGTATTTCATGGATTTATCAACGGTATATTTTTAGATATGATTCGACATAAAAAAGTAGTTTAATATATGGACGACTTTATAATAGCATATTGGAATATATATGAACATTTGAAAGACTTAAGAGAGGTAATTGAGCGCGTAGTTGAGTTTTAATTAGAGTTGAGGTTAGAGAAATGTGAGCTTATGCAAGACAAAGTTAAATACTTAGGATTTTAAATATAAAAGGCGGGTATAAAAGCTGACGATTTTGGGGTTTGAGGCGGTAAAGCAACTTTCGCATTCAGGATAAAAACTTTTCTTCGACTTTGTTCACATTTTAGAAGATTCAAAACGACTTTTCTACAATTGCGAAACCAATGTATGATTTACTATGAAGAGTATTTAAAACAAAAACAGCTAAATTGGTTTCGGCACTTGAAATAAACATTTTTTGCAGAGAAGGCGTTTTAAAATTATGACACTAAATAGCAGAGGGGTTATAAGCTCATTAAAATATAATTTTGGATCATATAGTAGACCGAGCTGTATAATATCTGATCGGGAGAGCTGTCTTACATCGGCTGAGTTTGAAGAATTTTTAAGGGAAAGCAAATGTGAAACTTTTAATAATTGCAATGCGTTCTCTGCAAGTATATGGGCAAGTGGAACGCATAAATAGGAGTTTAGGTATTAGGATAGGATTATTGAAAGAGATCAGTATACATTGAACAACACTCAGCATTGTAGCACCAAACCGGTGTTAAAAATTACAAATATTTGCTTGAAGATATAAATGGCGTTCAGTTATCTCGAAATCCTTATCAGGGTGTTTGGAGTGCTAAAAACATTAGATGTTGAATTAAATAAATCTAATAAGCAGACAATATCTTAAAATACGCAATATAATACAATTTAAGATAAGATTCAAAATATATTATAAAAGCCAAAATGTATTATTAAATCTTAATGTACTAGTTGTAAGTATATAAGAAGTTAAATGTTAAGCTAAGATAGAGGACTATCTCATGGTCAGGATGACCGAGTGTAACAGGCTGGTACATCACTAGGTGTGAAAGGCTTACTATAGTCAATTCAATTTCGATAAGACTTATTAGCGCTGCAGGGCATATAAATTGGTAAGAGGCTCTAGTCGGGCGCTCCCGACTAGGGGATACCCTAAACCCTCTTCCACCAACACCAAATGAAGCTCACGCTACGAGTTTGCTTATCGGTAATAAAAAATTTAATGAAAAAAATTAGTTCCTCCCAAACGGGCTCGTACCCGTATCGGACGCTCTACTTGCCACCGTCTCTACTTGACAGCCATATTTATTATGGCACATAAGCACATAATACAATACAATCGCAATTGCAATGCTGTTTATATAATTCAATAATGACGTGGAAGAATGTATGGAACATGTACGCAGAAATTCATGCAATTTGCGCTGGCAGCCGCAAACACGACAATATAATAACTTTCGATATCGATTATTATTGATTCCTTGGAAACGGGGCAAGTTATCGATTATCGGAAATAATCTCGTACTACGGGGTACTGGGAGGACCTACGTTCAAAATTGCAAGTCTCTGGATTTTATAGGTGCTGAGATTTTTGAGTTCATACATACAGACGGATGGACAGACGGACGGACGGACAAGGCTAGATCGACTCGGCTTGTGATGCTGATCAAGAATATATATACTTTATGGGGTCGGAGATGCTTCCTTCTGCCTGTTACTTACATTTGCACAAATACATTATACCCTCTCTCCCATTTTTAATGGGTTCAGGGTATAAAAATTGTTGTTGTGCTGAGTCATTGAACAAACTAAGTGCTCATGACATTTAGGCAACGGCAGAAATAATAACAAGAAAGAGGGGATATCTTCGGCAGACTCAACCTTTTTATAATGCTCATAATGCTTTGCCCGTATCTAAGAAGCACAGAGAAAATAGTTAATGACGAGTATGGTTAGGATATTTTGAAAAACAAGAAGTTTTTGATGGCAGCTTTATGATATAGTGATCCGATGTTGAGAAGATTTTGCATAAATTTAGGGAGCATAGTAAAGCATACAACTGCCGGGTTTGCTTAAGATATCTTGAAAAAAAAAGGTTTCCATACAACAACTTTATTTTCGACCGATCGTTCCTGTGGCAACTATTTGATATAGTGGTCCGTCGTTGATAGGATTTTGCAAATATATGAGAAGATATCTTGATAAACAAAAAAGTTTTTCATACAAGAACCTTATTTTCGACCGATCGTTCTATGGCTTTATGATATAGTGGCCCGATCCAGCTGGTTCCGACATACTGACTACTGCGTGCAACAGAGAGAGGCACTTCTGCAAAGATGTATAAAGATAGCTTTAAGCCTGAGAGACTAGTTCGTATAGAAACATACAGACATAAAGACGGCTGTTGATACTGATCAAGAAAATATATACTTTATGGGGTAGGAGATGTCTCCTTCTATTTGATACCCATTTCACATGCAAGGGTATAAAAGTAACTTTTTTGAAGAGGAATTCATAACATGTACTTTGGTACTTACTTGTTGTTTTGTTTTCTTTTTCTTTGTGATTGGCAAGTAAATCTTGTTGTAAAGAAAGTAAAGAAATTAGAAATATTCAAAGCTTTTCGATGAAGGTTATTCTTAACTTCGTATTGACAATGGAGATGTCACATACGTTACAGCTTGAGACTTGATTGTATTTTTACGAATATGGGCACACAAGATGAAATTATAT